CATGTATTAGTATAAAATATCATGAAACAGCAGGGATATACACAGATCACTACTGTCTCCTTTACAGCTCTGTGAAAAACCCTTGGGCTATCCAGAAGAAAAGCTTGTGATCAGAACTCTGCAGTGCAGTGTCCGCCTACGCTCGTATTGATTGGCGGACCTAGGCATTTCTCTCAACAGCAAAAAAAAAACGCAGAGGAGCGATTTAAAAGTATTACGTCATGAAAAGTACGGCATCCAATATTATTGTCCTCAAAGTACGAACTCAAGCCAATCTTCAACACGGGGATCCACTATATTGTACAGCATAAGAGATACTACACTCAGTGAAACTGTGAACTCAGCTTTCAGCGCCAAATAATCTAGATGTTAAATTCTTCAAGGCGCAATCATAGCCCACGCATTCAAGCTGTTCTGACAAACTTAAAAAACGTCAGGTTTCTCCAATATGTTCACTACATATTCAAGTTTAAATATTTTCCAAACGTTACACGTACTGTAGATGCGTACGTATTTGATTCATCACAAAGGTATTTGTCAAGCGCTGCAAAACAATTTTATTTCCGTTTTCTTCAAAATGGTTGAATTTTCCAAAGTCTCCTTTACAAAATTCCCACAGATGGATTAAAGACACGGAAAACCGCTGTTCTTGATATTTTTCTTCTGGTGTTTTTGTTTGTATAGACTTGCCCTTACTTTTAGGTATTTTGTCCGGATTCAAATTCATTACTGAAACAGGCCCACAAAAAATGACTGGTCATCAGAAGCAAATGGGAATGCTCATGTGGGTTCAAGGGAAAAATTAATCCGACCTAGAAGAACAAAAAATAGCTGAAGACAGTAAAATGCACAACTACCAATTAAAAATATTTTTCAACTGGCTGCGGCTGTTTGGGTGTTAAGTGATACTTTTAACTTTAAAAACGAATGTGTCGATGTTAAAACAGGTCTATGAATTTCCATGAATAATCTTCCTCGTTTCGGTAATGGGCGGTAGGATTTCCTCTAAGAAATTAAGCTACCATAAGATTTTTCACTAATGATAGTATTTATAGACTGGAACTAATGACAAGTGTATGTATCCAATAGGGATTCAGCACGCAGTATTAACGGTCTTTTTTTCTTTGCTTGCAGGTCTTCGAAAAATAAAATTAACATTGCATTTGCCTCGTCATGTTCTTATAGGAAGCGTTCCCAGGGAAGCACAAATTGTAATTAGAATGGTCTGGGGCAGAACGAGAGACGATAATACTGTTTGTACTGTATCTCTGTGGGCAAACAGGGTGACGAGGCGGCAATGCCGTTTGTAAAATAATGAAATTCTGAGCTGCCGCTGTTGGGGGTGGAAATCGGTAGGCGTCATTGCTGTGGCATGGCACCTGACAAAGTCAGTCCATAAAACCCGAAGCTGTCTTAAGACACCCTAAAGCCATTCTGAAGCGTTAAATGTATTGATGTCAGTGCAGATCCGAGTTTCCACCTTTGAGCAAGTGTGCATCACATACCAGACTTGTGCCGTTTAGGACCTCTGAAGCCAATTACCGCACTGAGGCATTTCGAGCGCTCTGCGAAAGTAGAGGTTCTTTCTTCTGTTTAGAGAAACTGTTACCCCTCCCGTAAACTGAACTAGGAATCTTATAATCACGAGTATAAGCGATTTCAAATGCAAGAGAGCTGACAGATGATGCGTCTAATAATAGCTTGGTAACGAAGACGTGCTTTATTGCTTTATAGCCGCAACAAAATATCTTGGTTGATGTACAGTAAATATTGTATATGCAATCAAAAAGTCAAAAGGATCTTTTCATCTGGAAAGAATGTCAGTCTGTTTTAGACCATTCATATTGCCTCCTTTAAAAAAAATGAGGGGTGTGGCTTTTCAGCATCAATTATTAAATAATTTATGAGTGAATTTGCCTGGCCAGATTCACCATTTTCAGATTATGAACTGGAAATCTCTTTTTATTTCCACATTAACCTGCGCCGTTGAACAGTATGCGATCTTTCTTCCTAGGAACCAACAGCAGAGGGAAAATGTAAAAGGACGGTAAAAATCAACATTCATTTCACGTTCTCTTCCTTGTTTCATTTTTAAAGGATCAGTCGCCCGATCGTGGTCAAAGTATTTCACCTAGCAATAATCCCGCAATAGGCGACGATACTGCCACGGCGCAGAGTGCAGAAAACTGGGCGACCCGTTGCGCATTTCCTCGTGTCAGACGTGCTGTATGTTCACGCTCTTGTGCACGGCTGCGCTGCTAGGGTAGTTGAAGCCGACAATCTGGGGAAGCCTCCTTCTGCTTCAAAGCGGTGCGGTGGTGATCAGTATGCAGAAGACAGAGATTTCGGAATGTTAGGTAACACCGGCTAGCTACTGTAGCACACCCAGACACCTTCCCCAGATAAGCCACAGGGAAACAACACCGAGACACAAATCGATCAAATCAAGACGGGGCCCGTGTACTTGCATTTATGTTAACTCTGGGCCGTATGGGTATTGAATTGATATAGTATTACACTCTTTTTCGACAACGTTATCAAAGGTAAGACTGAATTAGGAGAGGAAATGCCCATCGCGGGAGTTATCATAAGACACCTCCTCTTCGACCATTTTCCAAACAAATAAACGAACGTTAGTAACTATGTAATAATAAGATAAAGTGGGGGAATCACGACCTGTCCGGATTTGAGCACCTCTCACGCAGCAGTCAGTCATTTGCTGACCAGGTGTTCGCGGTTTACATTGGCATCCAGTGTGCTTATATTTGTAAGCATTAGGCACGGTAACTGCATCGAAGGGATATCGATACCGAACAGCTTTTGGAGCTCTCGAGTATAGACAAGCTGAGCAATTAGAAAGGACTATCACATCGGAAACGCTTTCCTTATTTGGTGCGAGTTCTCCTGCCGTGCAGCCCCAGTTGCCTACGAGCTCATCAGGATTCAACTCCAGACTTGCCAGCCGCCCACTTAGAAGGGAAACCACCTGACACCCCCTCCTCCCAGCCACCAGAGAATAACGTCACCATTCTTAGAACAAACCTTTCAGACAGTTCGCTTCAATGTCGTTAATAACACCCTTAAATACGCCAGCCTCCTGTTTCTTCAGGTAACATTGGCTTAGTGTATTAAAACATTAGCTAAAGATCAGGATAATCGCGGCCAGTTTTCTGTAACGCACTTCATACCTCGGTTGACACAAAAAACACGAATCGTGACGCCTTTCCTTCTCCGAGATGGAGGTTAGAGAACTCTACATTAAAGTAAGATTCTAAAATATAATATATGATCGTGTACCAGATACACAGTGCTGTACAAATGTACTGTATTAGTTTTCCTTCTTTTGAACATTTAACTTACCGCTTTTTCTTCTTGATAAAGACACGTTTTTTTCTGCTGCCATTTTACCTAGTTTATAATAGAAAAGTTCATTCTGACAGATCAATATTTTGCAGTACAAAAACGAGCTTCTAGCGTTACAGATACAGTAAATGATAAAGAGGAATGTGATATTAATGAGAAGTAACCACTGACCACCATGAGTTCATTCTGTTTTGGATGGATTAAGCTGCTACGTACAACACTAGAACATAGTGGTAGTTTATGTATAATTTACCACGTGTTCACATGTTTCAAGACACTTATTTATATCAGATATTCTGATCTAATATTCCGAAGTGATATACCTGACTGCTCCAAGCCGAAACTAAGCTGCAAATATTAATGGAGGCATAGAGTAAATATTTGAAAGCCACAAAAAATATTGAGCTCCTCTTTGTATCGAAGATGTCTGCACAGCTACATTTGCTATAGATTCCTTTCAGCCCCACTCTGTCGAATTGAACTCTTGCTCCACCTCCAGTATTTATTAGTCAATTGAGTTAATTACATACTTAACCGAAGCACTGTAACCATTTTCACAATTGGAAAGACGATGGTAATGTGCAGAGAAGCAGAAAAAACTACCGAGACCTACCAAAGGCCACGGCCTGATGTACAAACCAAACTGTGGACCGACCAAAACCCGAGCGAGAAGGCTACATTTGAGTTTCAGCACCAAGGAGAGTTCTCTCTTGAGGGCTCTTGTCGGCTGTAATCTTTACAATGCCTACACACAACACAGCAACAAGCGTAACAACGGTACAAGTGACGATTGTGCCACCATAGAAGTGCACCCATTATAAAGCACCACATATATTGTGCATTTCTCGCAGAAAGATGACGTTGAAAATATCACGACATTTTAAAGCTTTAGTAGGCTACAGCTCTTTTAGCAGCATAATGCGTAAGTGTATGATCAACTTCATCTTGATCGATGTTGTTATTGAGTAATGTATCATTAACAGCGGCGCAATATTGGGTTGGACATCGAAGTGTTTCCTTCATAGTAGTTTCTTTCTGATCAATACGCCTGTAGTACATACTTTCAGACGGGTATGTAAGTAGAACCTCTGAACTGCCATAATGCTTTCATACTTTAACACTAAACATTTCATTTGTTGAAATAAGCGTGGACAATACACTTCATGCCATTAAAACGTATGTGAAAATGTATCACGTTAATGTTTTCAACGGCCATTTTATTAAAATAATCTTTTGTCGTAAAATACGACATTACACATAAAACAGCAGGAATCACCATCGACCCCTTCTTCGGCGCTTCCTGGAGTGCCCACAAAACAGAGTCTGTAATAGATTCACTTAGCGCTACCCATCCCATAAAATGCACTGAGTAAATACATCTTCCCTCCCATAAAGACATTACAGTAGCTCCTTTGTTATAGGACGTAGACTTACACCATTCGCACGCTGTTAAGTGTGTGTTAAAAGTACAATATGGTTATCCTTGGCAGCTTGGAGTTTTTACGTTATTTAGATGTGAACGTGCTAAGATTGCCTTACACATCCTTCTGTATACATTACACATTGCATCTTCGAGAGGGACCGCAGTGGGAGGGGCTCGGGGCTTTGCGGTATTTTTTATGAATGGAATTTCGACGATAGACGCTTCATTGACATGAGGAACGCGCCTTTCTCTCTCTCGGAGGCTAATTGGCTGCGACTCTGGACTAATCAAATCCCCCCTCTCTGACGTCAGACAGGTGCTGGCTGAGGCAACACTGATACCCAGACCCGGCTATCAATTGTTCAAGGAGAATGGTGAGTCACCAAAGCGGCGCAGTAACGCGGAGAGAGGCTCTAAAACATCTCTCTTAACACTGTGCTCCTTCAGATACTGCCGGTACTGCTGCCACAGCAGAAGCGCGCTGCACGGTGGTCCGTTTTTGAGCCGTTAGGTCTGGGATTGGGGGACCCCTAAGAATCTTCGCTTCCACCAGACAAAACTCGGACTACACGAACTCCCCTTGAATGGTCGGTGAACGGTGGTGTCCTTTATTTTCGAGTCCAGGTGCGTGTTATTATCATTTCTATACTCAGCTCGTAAACATGATGCTGTCCACTCTTATTTCGAAATGCATAATTTTAGAGATTTCCACTCTTTTTTTTTAAATGCTTAATTTGAGAGATTACCGATAGCATGCACGTTATTGACAGGTACGATAAAATTCGGAGAATGAGAGAATGGGACAGTGTAGTGTAATCCGAGGGCAGCCGGTGCGTAAAATAATGTTGCTGGATGTCCTTAGAGGTTTAAAATGTGACATTACGAAAATAAATTCATCTTCAACAATCACGTACTGGTAATATTATATGGTTTTAGAAACCTAATTAAAGCTGGTTTAAAGCTTACTCCAGACCTTTGTACTGTATATTTGCTTTTATTTTTCTTTTGCAAATTTCCCGTATACATCTACTGTAGCTACGCATCTAGCTAGATGGAGAAACTGCAACATTTTCCAGTGATTAGGCTGACATTAGTTAAGGTTAATCAGGCGATTTAAACTACAATTAGTAAAGTATAACAGCTGCTAAAACAACCTCACCATTGATGTCTCCCGACTCGAAGTAACTTGGGCGGGATTTGATTTCTGAATACAGCACGAATCTGGATTTATCTGTTCGAAAAGAAGGAAATACGGTAATCTGTTGTCGTACTCTATATAAGGCACGTCAGCACAGCCTTTCTAGCTAAAGCAACGAGTTTTAGTTTCTAAACAAGTATTAAAAACAACGTTAGATTTTGAATACCGCTATCCAAGAAGTCAAAATACAGGGAGGAAAAACGGCCAGAGAACTCTTCATTCCCGAGGCGCTCTCGACTAAAAACAGTATAGACGCCACTTCGATTACGTTTTGTTCGCTGTAAATGCGTGACCAAGGTGACAGGTGCAATGATCACAGAGCATAGTTTTAACAAGTAAATATTCGTTCATCCACTTATAGCACAGTAGATTCTGAGGTTGTTTTTCATACACAGGTTAGCAGGAGTTTAGTTTCCGACTCACACGTTGTGTGATTATCGCTCTATCGACAATTTACAGTAATTGTAATCTCCGGGGGTTTTGAATTCTTAAAAATCAAGAGGTGATGTGGAGACACGTTCATCCTTACAACCAAACGAAGATGAAAGAGCAAAATTCTAATTTTCTCCCTGTAGATCGAATCCTTCAAGGATTCATGCCAAAACGAAAATGTTGTAATTGCTGCATTAAACTGTTATACCAATTTTAAAAAATCTCTTGATGTTTAACTTGGGACTGTTCTACGAACATAAGGGCAAAGAATGAAGGGGCTCAAAAGGTTTAATGCAAGATTTTACTCACAAATCAGTGCCATCTCAAACTATGAAATTACCTTTGAAATATTTTTTCTGTAACTTTTTATAACATGGTAAGATCTGAATTGTCTTACATCATTTCTTTCATAAGATACATCAATGGAACCTAGTTATTGGGCTATTTGCAGCAGTCATCTGCTCTTAAACCACAAGATCTCCATTTCATCTTTAGTCTTTGAGAAGCAGCTCAGATCAGAGATGAAAGAGACAAAACTCAGGTCTTGTATGAAGTCACTTCATTTGAGCTGCACTGAAACGGCATTCATAACTGTTTTTTTTTTTACTTACCGGTCCAGGTACCGGAGGTGGCCATGAATGAAAACTTCTCCAAGAGCTCAGGGGAGAGTGAGCAGGGCATCTGGCTGGAGTCAGCTGAAGATGGAGGGTCCTTAGATCTAACTTCAGTACCAAGGGAGCCCATGCTCAACCCCTGGGATGTGGTGCTTTGCATTTCGGGCACAGTCATCGCCTGCGAGAACGCCATCGTTGTGGCCGTGATCTTCTACACACCATCCCTGCGCACGCCCATGTTCTTGCTGATCGGGAGCCTGGCGACTGCGGACCTGCTGGCTGGACTGGGACTGATCCTCCACTTTGTCTTTCTGTACTGTGTGCAGTCAGAGGCGGTAAACCTCATCACTGTGGGACTGCTGGTGGCCTCCTTCACGGCCAGCGTCAGCAGCCTCCTGGCCATCACCATTGACCGCTACCTCTCCCTCTACAATGCCCTGACCTACTACTCTGAGCACACGGTGACCAGGACTTACATCATGCTCATCCTCACCTGGGGGGTGTCATTGTGCCTGGGGATGCTCCCTGTTGTGGGCTGGAACTGTCTGAAGGACACCGCTTCCTGCAGCATCGTCCGCCCACTGACCAAGACCAACCTGGTCATCCTGTCCGTGTCCTTCTTCATGGTCTTTGCTCTCATGCTGCAGCTCTACGCCCAGATCTGCAAGATCGTGTGCCGCCACGCCCATCAGATAGCCCTCCAGCGCCACTTTCTCCCCACCTCCCATTATGTCACCACGAGGAAGGGCATCTCCACACTGGCGGTCATCCTGGGCACCTTCGCCAGCTGCTGGCTCCCCTTCGCCATCTATTGCCTGCTGGGGGACTATACCTACCCTCCCATCTACACCTATATCACCCTTCTTCCTGCCACCTACAACTCCATGATCAACCCCATCATCTATGCTTTCCGCAATCAGGAGATCCAGAAGGTCCTGTGGGCAGCCTGCTGTGGCTGTATGTCCTCCAAATTGTCCTGTCGCTCCCGGTCCCCCAGTGACGTGTAGCAGGGGGTGCCCTTGAGTTCACCTTGGCGCTGTACCCCATGGGTCACTCTCTCAGGTACCCCAAGTGCCATTGCACTCCGATTGCAACGGGCACACGAGGGAGAGTTTCCTGGCAAACCCTGTCAGTGAAGCAGACTTCTAGGAACCATAGAAATGTGAAAAGGATAAAGGAGGGGAGGTGACCATTCACAGGGAATGAAGAAGACAGCACTCAGATTGGGTGCAAGGTATTCTGCATTATGGGCGATGGTGGGGGCACAGGACCTTCTTCAAAACTGTTTCTCGAAACGTATGCCTGTGAAGAATCCAATTGTGAATTTCCATGTTTCTTGTTCAACTGGAGAGATTTTTTTACATTATTTTTCAAGAAGTGAGTGGAACGTTAAACAGCATGCGGAATGATGCCTGATTGGTAGGGTAGTAGGAGGAGGTTATATTGGGAAATACACTGTGTGCCAACTAAACCTACTCTGCAAATTTATCATGCAAAATGTGTCCGTTCCTCAAGCTACTCTGTAGTTTCTCTGCAGGACCTCTGGGTGGTCAAATTGCTACAAAGAGTATATTTCTAGTTTTGAAACTCTCAGTACCGTAAATCCAGAATGAGCACTAATGTCAAAACTACCTCACATTCATTCAAGGTAGTCCATCACCAGTGCTAATTAGGGTCTGAGGGATATAGGGTGAAGGTGGTCTATTCTCCCTTTTACAGAAAGTAGAATAGAGATGAAAAGAGAAACTTTGGGATTTTCTGTCCTGGTACAGTTTGCTCCTGGAAAAGACTTGGGCATAGGTCAGATCATATTTAAACAAACATCCAAGTGTCTGCATCACAGTTGTGACTACCCACTGAAATACTAATGCTTTCTGAATATGGCCAAATTGTTCTGCAGCTCTTCTGAGGTGGGTTAAAACACAGATGTTTATCTTTACCATCCTGTCTTCTGGGGACAGAAACAGAAAATTGAAAGCAAAGTTAATCTTTTCTTTTAAAGTCTTCTAACACTTCAGTGTGGTGAAACCACACCGAGCTAACGTGACTCAGAAACGTATAAAACGACTTACTGATCATCACGCATCTCACCCACTTCCGCAACACTTTACTGCCAGAGATGTCGAGCCTTGAGCGCAATGCAATCCTCCGACTCTCAGCTGCCCTCTACTGGTCTGAGGCGAGCAAAGCAGCTAGAACAATTAACATTAATCAGGGCCAAAATCACAGACAATCTCGCCTTCATTAGCGCATTGAAAAGAGTACTGTGGCTTTTAACTCGTGCCTAATTCTGAAAGCCAAACACTCTGATATTCAGAGATCCTTAAAAATCATTTGCACTATAATATATTTTGAGATAAACATTATTTATTGTGGAAAACATTTATGTACATAATATCTATTAATGTCCTGTCAGTGGCCAAATTCTAAGAGCTAAAGAAAAATAATATGGCAATTTATGTTAGTGTGTGGTACTGTACTAAAAATTGCACAAAAGTTTAATGCTTAAAGGCACTTTGGAGATGAACTCGGTACATAATGTTGCACAACGTGAAATATGTTAATGTATGAAAATGTTTTAATGAGAATGTATTATGTTCTTCTTTACAAATGAGAATAAAACCTAATTTTATATTAAAAAAAACGTCACCATTAGTTCTTTCCCTGACATTCCTTTACATTTTCCATTAATGGTAGAAATCTAACAGCTTTAAAATGAAGTGGACTTTCATGTAGTTAAAAGTCAATAAAAACACCGAACAGCTCTTTGAATACTCAAACTAGTGATGGAACATTGAAAACAAAATCCATTTTTTGCTCAACTGTCTGTCATGTATGGTTGCAAACAGGCTGCAGCAATTGGGATTACTACTTACTGTCCTGTGCCTACTGCACAAGAATACTGTGCATTTGATAAAGAAGTTGGACAATGGATGTTAGGACATGCAAATGTCACAAGGCAGGCATGATGATTACAAAAGAAGTGTGAGACAGACATCTAGTCAACATTACACGATACATTTGTCATATTTTCAAAAATCTGAATTGGTTTATGGGTGGCACGGTGATGCAGTGGTTGGCATCGCTGTCTCGCAGTGCTGGGGCTCTGGGCTCAATTCCTGGGGTGCTATCTGCACTACATATACGGAGTCTGTATGTTCTCTCCCTGTTCACACGGGTTTCCTCTTTTCTGTGTGCGTGCATGTGCGTGTCTATCCTGTGACGGACGGGCATCCCATCCAGGGTGTATGCTGCCTTATGCCCATGTATGCCCATATTCCCCTGTACCAAATAAGGAGGTTACAAAATCGATGGATGGTATCTGAGGAAGACAGGAGGGGACCCATTTCATCTACCATTGAGGTGCAGAACCTACCTGAGCGATTGGGACAGAAATTCTCCAGCTGCCTCCATTACACACATAACTGGGTAGAGAAGAGAGAACTGTTTTCACCAATTAAATTAACTGGCAGCTTTAGGAAGGCCAGATTGTACAAGACCAGGACAGAATTTAATCAAGACAACAGGGTTAACACACCTACTCTTCCTAGAAGAACGAGTCTAATGTCCAAGCTGTAAGGGACTGGTTTGATGTTACATCCAAATGATGTAAAAATCAGTTTTTTTAACAAGTAAGAAGTTAAATAGTTGTTTGTTAAGCAGTTAAAAAAGTATAATTTAAATAAATGGTGTTGTTAGATTGTACTAGGCACTAATAAGGTGCAATTAAGAATATTGTACAATTTTGGTGTCTATGCTACCAAAACGATACTGCTGCTCTGGGATTTGTCCAGAGAAGAGCAACCAGGTACACTCTGGGGTTCAAAAGAATGGCCTGCAGACACAGGAAATAAGAGCTGAATCATGCCATTCATGAACAGAAATGTCTATCCTATCCAAGTATTAAAAATTCTCAAGGACATTAAAGTCAACCCAATGGGCCTCTTAACAATCAACAGTACAACACAATCCATGTGAAGTTGTTTTAAAGCAGAGAACTAGAACAAAGTAAATTATAAGTCCTGACCTAATAAAGCAATGGTACCACAAATTAAAATAAAAAAACGTCAATATTTCGGGGAAAATACCATCAGTTCTGACTGTTTAGTGCCTCCACGTCACAGGTGCAAATTGTGACCATTTAATGACCATCTAATCTTGGTTCTGTGATTTTGCCCTCATGGAAGTCTGTGAGCCTCTCCTCCTAATCATTCAATTTTCCTTCAACACCGAGGATCACACTACTATTTCCAAGCTTGCCAGGCTTTTGATTTTGTAAAAATAAAACAATCGCTGCAGTCAATATAACAACACTCAGAGGCAAGTGGTGATCATGATGACTTTACTACACAACACAAATTTACCCCAGTGACAACAATGGGTGCGGGCCCTGAAATTTTCATTGACTTTTTTTCCCCAGCCACCTTACAAATTTACATAAAGTATGATGATAAATGTACAGTCTGCATATGTTACAGCAATCAAATAATACTACTGATAGGATTCTGTAATAAAAACAAAAATCCTGTACTGGAATCTATTAGCAAAATGTTTAAGATCAATTTTATTTGATTTAACAGTTAGACATACAAACAGCAACATGGGTGTATTAATTATATACACATATTGCTTCTTACCATATTTTGCATAGATTTTCCAATAAAGAAAATTACACATAAAAGGCACTTATATATTTGCACAAGGCATAGGTAATGAATAATGTGGAAAGGGCTTTATGGTTTTTGTATTGAACAATCTCTGAACATGCAGGACAACTTGGCTCAAATACCTAAAACAACATTTTGTTCCATGGTATAGACCAGAGTCAGCACAAATCTGGATTCACTTGAACCAGGTATCAATAAGTTGGAAAAAAAGAGCTTTGTTTATGCAAAGCAAATGAATGTTTATCATATTTGAAGCTGCTGTCAATGTATGGGAATTGCACATCTGCAAGTGGTCATGTGCGCTAATTCACACCCTAAATGCAGGGCACTAGGCTTTTGTTTCCACCCGAGTCCAATTAATAAATGACATGCTGTCTTCACAGTCTAGATTTGGATGGTTCCCAATCAGAGCTAGAGTGTATCTAGCAACCCAGGTCAGTCAGATACATTCCAAATGCAGGCCCAGGTTTGCAAATAAATGCTGGCAGCTACTTACTCAACTTCTTTTTCTGAATTGGCTACATTTGATTTAAGAAAAGCCTTTTAATACCCA